AAATTTACCCCAAAGCTGTTTTTTTTCCACCAGAATGAATGGCATCTTAGGTCATTGTTAAAATAATAACCTGCAGGTATGCTTCAAAACATTGTCAATCCTTAAAATCCTTTATTTCTGAAACAGAATTCCTTTTAGAGGATTAACCTGCTTTCATTGAGAAATTTTAAGTTGGCCTTGACTTTTTCCCCATTTAAAGTACCTTTAAAGCGCCTTTCTTAGATATAATCACAAAGTGCTTCACATAAAAACAATAAAGTAAATTAAAACATCACCACATCATTACATTCATATAAAAGTAAAAGTTATTAAAAAAGGTTTATATCCTTCTTTTTAACTTTTAAATCATTCAGCTTGGCTTATATAAAGGGGAACTGCAATGTTTTGCTCTGAATTCCTCCTTATTGTAACTCAACAAGCCCCACTTTCACCCCTTTTCTGAGAAGGGGTTATCTGCAGATCAAAAGTGGGCGTGTCACAAGAGTGGGTGTGTCTAAAGCAAAAACACTGTGGGCGACGAGGCCTACATGACGGTATCCTTATACCCTGCTTGACCTCTATACAGCCTAACCCTGACCCCAACACTAAGGTTAACCAGGTGAAATGTGACCCAAGTAAGGTTCCCCAGAAAAAGTGGTGCCGTATGGTGACGCCCCTTTTTTTGCTTGTCCAGTCAGGTGTGTCCCTTTAAAAAATTCCGTCAAATCAGGTGTGTCGCTTTAGAATCGCCTTTCATTGGGACAAGCCCACTCGTCCGCAGAGACCCCTACTTGGCCTTTTCTGACGTGTCTCAGATCAACTCGTTTTGAGGCTGTCTCTTTAAACACAAACAAGGTGGTTCAAACCCCGCCCCCCTCCATCTTCCAGAATGGTCCATTGTAGTTTTAAATTAAAACTGTGATATAAAATTTCAGAGAACATCATAAAAAACTGGACAAGTTGAAAAATATGACCCGAACAAAATCTAAAGATAAGTTTGCAGCACTTCTAGAGACTTCAAGTACACAACAAATTGCATTTAAAGGACTTTGCATGATACGTCCCCTTTAAAATATGCAACAAAAAGCTAGTCATTTATTTTCTGGGTCCTGTGCCCAGGGCTCAGGAGCTTGAGGGTGCTGAGCTGTTTTGGGCAGAGATGTGTGAAGTCCCTGGGATCTGTTGGAGCCACGGCTTTAGATGACCGCTGGTAGCACTGAGGGTCGCGGCTTTGTCACAACTTCTCTCCTCTTTCAGCCGTTAGTATTTCTCAAGCGCTTTGTGTTCTTTCTTTTTGACGTTAAGTCACTTGGGACCCCGACCACACCAACATCTGATAGGTCGACCATCACTTGACACTTCAGATCAGGGATAGTCAATCCTGGTCCTCGAGGGCCGCAGCCCTGCATGTTTTACTTTTTTCCCTTCTCTAACACAGTGGTTCCCAAAGCTGGGGTCGAGACCCACAGTGGGGTCCTGAAAATATTTTCTGAATTAATTGTGACCCATCATATCGAAATGAGGATTAAGTCAAATTTGGTTAAAATAACCTAATTACATTTTCAGATTCTTGGCTTTAAAAGCTACATTTTGATACCTGGATCATTCTGATATAAGTAAATCCATATATTTGACTTAATTTGTCTTGTTGGTTACAATAATGCATAAATATTTGGTCTGAATCCTAATTTTATGTAATTTTAATGAGGAATTTTTGATGTCCTTATAACGAGGAAACTTCAAATTATTTTTGAATATTGAGATTTCCCAGCTGAAAAGAAACAACTTTGCTAGCTCATGGGGAAAATCTCAAAATTTTAAGGCATTTTTCCTCAAAATCAGTTTTTTTTTGTTGCTCCTGCTCAAAAAAGTGCTTCAAATTTTTGTTTTATGATTATATTTCAGGCAGTTCATTCAAATGCTACATTGATAAGGCTTTTATTCATTATATTTTGACAAAATGCAATTTTTAACATTTTAGTCAAAACATCCTATTTGCCCATTTCTCCTTGTACCACTTTTGGACTTAATCCTCGTTTCGATGTGATGGGTCATAATTACATTAAAAAATGACAACTAAGAACATTTTTTGCCTTTGCTGTTACAAAATTAYGACTTGTGTACTTAAAATGGACAAAAATAATGTAATAAGCAATTTATTTGACGTGAAAACAATGTTTATCAACTGACTGGGGGCACAGGTCTCTGCTGCTTTTATTTTGTGGGTCAAAAACTGAAAAGTTTGGGAACCGCTGCTCTAACACATCTGATTCAGTCAGTGAATTACCTCTTCTAAGCTCTGCAGAAGCCTGAAAATTATCCATTCATTCAAATCAGGCGTGTTGGAGCAGAGACACAAGTAAAACATGCAGGGCTGCGGCCCTCCAGGACCAGGATCAACAATCCCTGGTTTAGATCTCGGAGTCCCACAGTACAGTAGTAACAGGAAAGGGAACAGATCCAGGAACAGGTGTGCAAAGGGAGCCAGGTGTGAAGACAAATTGATGAGGGGTGGAATAACAGGAAGTTTTTTTTTTTTTGGCGGAAAGGTAGACGGTGGAGTAAAACAGATGAGAAAGTTAGAAAATGGAGAGTTGCAGGAGACCAGTGGAACACAGCTATTCATCAAAATGAAGCACGCACACACGCCTACACACACACACACACACAC